TAATAAATGTAGTTCACTGATAAATGTTGAGTGTTTTCTTGTACCTGGTACTCCACGGGAACAAGTGGATGAGAACTTTAAACTTTTCATCAAGACCCAACTGTGTTTATTTTTGCAGTACTAATACAGCCAAAAGATGGCTTTCCACTCACATATAAATATGCGATAAGTTGCCAATCAGCATTTTAAATGCTTTGACGCCATGCTCAGAAATAACATCTGTGCTTCTTCTTCTCACATAGTTACCAAATGAGTAATTTAACTTAGGGGAGTTTGTGGCCATCCTTATAGGGAATTGCATGAATTCTAGAAATACTAGTGTAACTGTAATCAACTTTGATTTTATGGGACACTCATGGGCATATACCAACTACATCTTAATCTTTCCAGAATTAAAGGAATGATATTGGCCCTGAAGGCTATTGGTGAGAATATTTTCTGAGAGTTAATAATGAATCCAGAAGTTATTATTACTAATATTGATTTACAAATCACATGAATTAAATGATCAAAGAATGAATCATTTTTGTTTCATCCACTGAACAACCAAGAATTGAACTGCTCTAAATTAAGGAAAAAATAAATGATTAGTCTTTCCCAGGCAACCAAGGGCTATTAGAGAGCAAATCCAGAAGGCAGGACCTCTAGTTCACCATCCTCTGAGGTCTAGAATATACTTTAACCATAATGACATCGGAGGTCAAAACTTCACTCCACTCTGTTGAAAGAAGTCAGTGTTATTTCCCAGCCCTTTCTATGTGATAATATGTGGGCTTTTAACAGATTTCCTTGTCTTTTAAAGATTTGGTGCTACATCTAACCTTCTACTTACTGATCCTCTTCTTTTCCAATCATTAAATTGAGGAGAATTTTGCTGGTATATTCTGAACATTTTATTTCTTTCGGCTCAAATCTTTCTAAAGTTCAACCAGGGACCAATAATGAGTTCTAACTGAGAATAAGTGTAGGTTGTTTCTGAATTTTTTTAAAAAGTGACTTCATGCTATTGTTACTTTCATAATAAAACTTAGTGACATCTGAGTGGGTTTCTCTCCCTAGTCTGATTCCCACTGCTGCTTTTATACACCTGAGTCTTGTCTTGCTTTGTAAAAGAAGCTGTGTTCTTGGGCTTGAGCTAGGCTTTTCTTACACAGACCACATAATTATAGCCAGTATACTCCTTCTTGCAATTAATTGATATTTTCCTCCAAAGAAATCCGGACAGTAGAGGATAAAGAGTAGTCTTTTGTCTATAAAGGTTAAAATCGCATTTGTCATATTACATACAGATTTCAGGCCAGTCAGACTTTTAGCTTGTGGAAGTGAACTTAAGGCAGGGATGGACATGAAATATACTAAGAGCAGTCTTGGTGAAAGAAAAAAAAAAAAAAAGAAAGAAAAGAATCAGATTTCCCTCAGCTATTCCAAAAGCAAAGGTAGTACTGACTTCTGAGGAAACTGATCAATAACAGGGGCCAATTCCAGGAAAGGGAGAATTTAGTCTAATTCAACCGGTGCTAGAAACTGTAGATAATATGGAAGCAATGGTTGACATAAACCTGATCTTCAAGAAAGTTAGAAAACACTAAAGGGATGAACAGAGGTCAAAAAGCAAAATGTTTTTGTGGCAAAGCATTCTATTCTTCCAAGATTTTATTGTGGTTGATTTTCAATTGCATTGAATTTTCAGTTAATAGACTCCTTCTAGACTTTTGAATCAGGAAAAGATAGTAATCAGTGGTATAATTAAACAGTGTGTTTTCGTTAATAAAAACAGATTTTTTAAAAGCTTTTTTAATGTGTCTTTACCATAGAAATTCCTAGTGAGAAAAATATATATCTTTACTTGTTTATTAAGTTTAACTCTGTAAGATGAAAAAAGAGAACTAAGATTTTTAAGTGAAAAAACCTGGAATTGAGCCTATTTTGTGCATTTCATTTATAAGAGAGTGTTGACAATGCTAATGAGCACTGGTTCTTTTGCTGCTAGATTCATAGAAGGTTAGCCCTTTACATAAAAACTACTAATTGGGGATGTTGTAGGTAGAATCTTCCACATTTTTTTTTACAGATCCTACATTTGCAACTGTTTGCTTTACAGAGTTAGTGCCTACTGCAAAATCAATTTTGTCTCCCTATAAACGTCTTCACAAGTTCCCAAATATTTAATTTCATCCATCAGCAAACTTTCAGAGTCTCAGCTCTAATATTTCCATAAATTTCTGAAGGCATGTTCCTTTGAAGTTTAATGCTTTTGAGAAAACATGCCTCTGAAACCATTCAAATTCTACACTGGTGTTCTGGACTGTTCTGGGATGGATATAACCTGGCAAAATGGTAGAATATGCACCTGAGCCTGAGAATCAGACCGGTTACAAGTCCTGGGCCACTGCTCAGAGCCTGGGTGATCTCTGAGATTTTACTCAACCCTTCCAAATCTCATTTCTTCATTTATAAAATGGGCATGGCAGTAGTATCTCCTGGCATTATTGTAAAAACGAAATACGATAATGCATGTAAGCCACTTTGACAATGATCAGCATACAGTAAGCTACTAATAAAACGCTATTATTACCAGTGAAGTGATATGCTATAACTTCATCCCTTTAAGTCCTCCTTTCACATCGGTTGAAAATATATGGACATTTCCCCAGAAATGGCTTGCTTCCATTAATCTGTGGATTCGTCTGCTAAAGCTGCCGTAACTACGTACCACAGGCTAAGTGACTTAAACAACAGAAATGTAGTTTCTCAGGGTTCTGCAGGATAAAAGCCTAAGATCAGGGTCTCAGATTTTGGATTCTCCTGAGCCCTTCTCCTTGGGTGGCCTTGCAGATGGCAGTCTTCTCACTGTGTCCTTGTGTGGTCTTTTCCCTGGGCCCATGAATCCCTAGTGTTGCTTTATGTGCCCTGATCTTCTGGTGTCTCTTCCCATAAAGGACACCAGCCAGATGGGATTCAGTCCACCCTAACCGTAGCCTCATTTTCATTCAGTCTCCTCTGTAAAGACCTTGTATCCAAATACAGCCACATTCCAAGGTGAAGGGGTCAGAATGTTACTGTACGAGGTAAGGGGAACACAGACTAGGACAACACACTGCCTAAATCCTGTCCACCTAAAACTGGACCTTCACTCACTCACAGCATTTATTCAATGTCTAGTCCAAAATTAACTGCTCCCTTCATACTAAGCATGGCCCTGTGACCAAGTAAGACTTCGCAGTAAGATGGTAACTGTTTCTGAAGAACTCAGATTCTTGGAAAAGACAGACAATTTTGTAAAATAACAATTTGCTGTAAAAGATTTAAGAAAATGGCAGAAAGTAGAAATTTTTTTTTTGGTACTGGGGATCAAACTTGGGACTTTGTGCTTGCAAAGCAAGCGGTAGCACCACTGAGCTAAATCTCCCAAAAAGAAATTTTTTATAAAGAAGACACCTTGAAGGATGAACAGAGTTTATCAGGTGAAAAGGATGGTGGCTGAGGGAACATGAGTTTCTAGATAGAAGTAGTGGGAAAGAGGAGTCATTAACCAGAATTTAATAAATGACCATAAGGGAAAGATGATGCATGGTAGGAAAACCATTACTGCACCTAAGGATCCAGGGAGCTCCATCCTGTCCCCAGCTAACTACAAAGCAGCTCTTGGAGTCCAGATTGTGTCCCTTCCCCCTCTGTCCCTCTGCTTGCAGGTGACAATGCAAGTCTCAGAACTCATCTTCCATGCAGCCACCTATACTTTCATGAGACATTCTTTCTCTTCTTCTAAATTTACATTCTTTATTCCCAAATGATTTGCTTATAAATGTAAATGATAAAAAACTGTTGTTGTGGCTTGTGTTTAGAAGTCCCCCCAAAGCCTCATGCAGATGAGGGGGGACTTTCTTTTTCAGAAGTGGCTGAATCTGGAATGTGTGATGCTGGGATTAAGGGCATGTGATTACTAAACCACTGTAAGTGAGAGACTGGTTTGGCACCGCCCTAATCCCGGTAGTCTGGATGGGATAAAAGGGGCAGAAAGATGCTGTTAGGGTCTCTTGTTGCTTTAGCTGTCTTATGCTGCTATGAACTGTTTCTCCTCTGCCACCCTGGCTTGGAGCCAGCTGATTATGGACTGAAACCTTTACGAACTGTAAGCCAAATAAACCTTTCCCCCTTTAACTTTGGGTGTTGGGTATTTTGTCTCAGGTACAAGAGAAAAGTAACTAACACAACTGTGTTCCTCTTAAGTCAGCCAGGTGAACACTTCTGCTTTAACTCTGTCTTCTATCTTCTTGGTGGCTAAGATGGCTGTGTCAGAGGTCTGATGACAAAAGCTGCCAAGTGCTGCACGCTCCTGTCATAGTAAGCCACCAACCTGCCAGCCTTATAGTGGGTAGGTGTCACTCCCATCCACATTGCATACATGCACAAACTTGGGCAAATGACTGACCCAACGCCACACAGCCAGCCACCGACAAGGCATGGACGTCACCCAGCTCATCTGACTTCATCCTCCACGTGCTAACACCAGGTGTACTGGCACTAGGAAAGACATGCTTGCAGATCTGTTGTGCAATAGAAAAAAAAAATCAGAAATACCGACCTTTTACATCAAGAGAATTTTCCCACATATAGCAAATGATACTTGGGCAGGCCTTGGGAGCCCACACCTGTAATCCCAGCACTCCAGGAGGCTGAGGCAGAAGGACTGCCAAGTTCAAGCCCAGACTGGACAACTTAGCAAGGCTCTATTTCAAAATTAAAAGGGTTAGAGAAGGGTGGGGATTTAGCTCAGTGGTTCCGGCGCCTACCTTAAAAGCGCAAGGTCCCGAGTTCGATTCCAGGTACCAAAACAAAGAGGGGTTGGGGATATAGCTAAGTGTGAAGGCCCTGGATTCAATCCCTAGTACAAAAGAAAAAAAAAGATTCTTATGAAGAGATGTAGCCTGGTTTTAGAGCATATGTCTATCATGTATGAAGCCCTAAGTTTGATCTCCAACACCACTACCAAAAAAATGTTCTTTGTGAGATTATGCCTTATTTTTTAATGTCATACTGTCCTTTGTGTTATAAGATGATGATGAAGTTTAAAATGATAGTCTTTTTTTCCTCAGTGTCCTAATTACAAAACAAAAAGCAAAACAGTTGGCATGTCAGTTCTTAAAGTTAAATCTTTGTTTTCATTCCCAAAAATTCAAAATCTAAAATTCACCACTGGGTCACAGAGTATCTTCCTCTCTGTGAGACATATGTTCCCTTTCTGTTGTCCACATTACCACTCATTGTAAAACTGAACTTTCAGTTTTTCACTGCCTGATTTTTAAGAGTTACCAACTCACTTCCCCAAACTTGGACCTGTTTCTCTCTAATGCACTTGTATTTACAGGAAGAGGCTAAGTGAAGAGGTAGCATAATGGCTTTCTTCTGCTGTGGTTTCCACGAGAGTAAAAAGCCCAGCCTTTTCTTATCATAGCTTGATGGAAACTTTTCACACTGGAGATGTCAAGTCATAACAATGTGTGGGGACACCATTCTGCTCTCAGAACTGTGCAGTTCTAAGGGAAAGACATTCTTCAAAGCTGTTTGCAATATCCAACATTGGTTTACTCTGATGTGGCATCTCACAAAGGAGCCTTATGAATGGATTAAATGTGGTTGGGTGCAGAAGTACAGTAAGACCTCTGTCCTGGGCTTTCGAGGGTGGACACCCTAAACAGGCACTTCCTTCCTAAGGGTCCTTGAAAATAGCTGACTTGAAGTTTTGTGGCCAGTAATAACCTTCTCTAAAATAAACCACTTACACCACCTGCCTGACAGTGCCCTATCAATTATATGAGGAGTGGGTGGGGTGGGTCTTCCAAGTTGACAGGAGAAGAAACAGAAGGGGGAGCCCGGGGTTGAGCAGCGCTGGCCTTTTCTGTGCTGTCACTGTTGGCCACCGTTTTTTTGGTCTCTGCTCATGCTCAGCCTCTTCTTCAGCAGGAAAAAGTCTGGAACTGGAAAGAGAAGAAGAATCATCTTAGAATTTCCAGGATCAAATGAAGCAAATTTGGGTGGCGGAGGAATTTGGGGACTGGGGGACAGAGGTTGGGCTGAGCAGGTGCAGAAGCTAGAATGAGCCCGCAGAGCAGAAGCGGTGGATGAGGGTCTTGGTTGTGCTTGGAATTTTGATTTCTGAGCCAAATGAGACATGGATGCAAGAGTGGGAGAGGGATTTGAATGTTATTTTTCATATCTGGAAAATATGTTTAGCAATCACTTCTTGGATCAGAGGCCAATATGGGTTTTTAACCTTTCCTTTAAAATGCAGGCTTAGGCAGGCACCGAAGGGTGAGAGAGCCTTGCAGAGAAATACAGTGGTTCTCCCTTGGTTGTGACTTTGCTTTCCCTTACCTATAGTTAATTGTGGTCCCAAAACACAACCGCAGCACAATGAGAAATTAAGATGTTTGGATACTTGTCTTCAAATGGGGGGCTCACCAGGACATTTTGGAACTTCCAGGCTTTCTCTATTGTGTTGAAGACATTTATTTTGGTGGCTGGGCCCTAATCTTTTTCAAATGGTGAAATAAATAGTCTTCTATTTCATAAGGTTAAGAACTGCAACTATGGGAAAACACAAAGGGAAAAAAATGTACAGTCCTAATTGATAGTTGCCCTCAAACTTACCACATTTCCCTTCTTTCATTCTGTGTTCCCCCAGGCCCTAGCCTTTCTGTTCCTTTCCCCTAACTTTCTCAAGCATAGTGTCCCTGGAACCTACAGTGAATATACCCCCTCTAAAGCCTAGGAATTAACTACTCTTGAAAATTTCTCAAGGCAAAATTCTTCCAACTCCAGCAATCACATGATAAACTCCTGTTAGGACCATCAAAGATGAGCTGTGGAGAATATGAAAACCTGCAAGCCCTGTGTGTTTAGTTGTCTATGGCTGCATGTTATGGTTTGTAGATAGATGTCCTCCGAAGGCCCCATGCACTCAGAGGGTTGTGGAGCACTATAGCTGGCTTGGTATCAGGAGGTGGGGCTGGTCCAAAGAGGTGGTCATTGGGGCTCCAACTTGGAAGGGTCTGTCTGGCTCCCTGGCTTCACCTTTCCTCTCTCTGCTTCCTGGCTACCATGCCACGAGCAGCTTCTCCCAGGCTAGCCCCCTCTGCCATGCAGGCCTGCCACCGAGAAGCTCTCTGAAATGCACCCTTCCTTACACAGGACTGCCTCCACTCCTCTCCATAGAGCCTCACCCCCCGCCCCCCCACACACACACCCCTGTACACAGGACAGCCTGCGCTAGCTCACCTGGTGGCCAGACTGAGAGATGAGGAGACAGAGAGAGGGAGAAAGGAAGGACAAATGGGGGAATACACACCAGGGAGAACAATGGGACATGGCCAAGATTAGAGCCAGTATTTTTATAACTGACATCCTATCAATAATACTAACTCACATTCCGGGGAAAGGGAACATACAGACTGTGGGGAACAACAGGCGGGGGTCTGAGGAGCCATTTTAGTGGCCACCTACCGCACCTTGTCAGCTCCACATACTGGTCAAGGATGGCCTCATGCAGCGATGCCAGGTGTATGGAAAGTGTAGCAAGTTCTTTGACAATGGTAAAAAGAAGATACTCTGAAATGGTAGGAAAAGGAGAACTTAATTTAATTTGGGGCATCCTGGGAAGTCTCCCTTAAGAAAGTGAAGTTTGAGCGAGGTCTCAAGTAGACCTCAAAAACGGTCATTCCAGCAAACAGACCAACATGGGCAAAGGTCTGGGGTCTGAAGGAACATCAAAATCACAGGCGGAGCTTCCAGGGCTTCTGATTCAACAAATCTGGAGGGAGGCAAGAACTTACATTTCAGATGATTCTCGTGACCTGGGCCCAGGAACTGCACTTTTGAGAAATACAGACTTAAGCAAAGGACTGGAGTTTCAGCATATTGGGAAAGAAATAAATATTTTTATTTATCAAGTTGAACTGACTCAGTTTCCTAATCCTATTAGATTCAGTGGAAATGAAGGGTGTTAGTTTGTACTTAATGGATCCCAAAATTATAAATTCTGGGTGTTGAGAAGAATTTGGAGAATGTGAACCCCTCATTTTACAAATGAGGTAAGTGGAGGTAGAAGATGGGTTCAGATAGGCAGAGTCATCTTTTTTTTTTTTTTTGGTACTGGGAATCGAACTCGGGACCTTGCACTTGTGAGGCAGGCGATGGAACCACTGAGCTAAATCCCCAGCCCCAGAATTATCTTTTAAATCAGACAGGTCTTAGTGGTTCTCTCACTCAAAGGTTCCCGAATGAAATATACTAGGGCCTTTCCCTTTGACATCTCAGTGCTTTCTATTTGAGATGAGCTAAAGAGCTGTGGTAACTCTCCCAATGGAATAATCATCTTTTAGAAAACATCCATGCCCATAATTTGGCATGGGAGGCAGGCTGAAAGAATTCTCTGAAAAGAGGCCATTAGCTACATTTCTATGTGTGATTGAGATCTAGAACTCCTGCATGGCTCCTTGGGCTGAAAAGCCTGAGCTGTGCTTCTGGCCTCTCTCAGCCTCTGCTGTCCTTTTTTCTTCCCCCCAAAGGCTCACATGCACAAATTTAGCTGCCTAAATGTCTCTGCAAAACTTGGGTTTGGTGGTGCTGTTCCTTTGTAAAACCCAAATCATTAGTAAAATTAAATCTAAACGCAAACTGGACCAAACCCATCTTGACTCCTGAAATATGCTTTCTTCTGAAAGAAGGTAGTGAAACTCTGCAGTTTATTCTTTGCAACAAATGCACAAAATCAGATCAGTGTCTTCATTCTGTTGTCTGAGCTGTTGTCACCTTTTATTTGACTGTACTAAAGGAAACAAGATGGAGACAGTTTTGAACAGCCCAAGGGAATCTCATTTGCACATTCAAATACAAGCGTGTTTATCATAATTTCTTAAGCTCTGGCTTCCTTTGCCCTCGCTCTTCCCCTAATTCACAGCCCCGCTCTGACATATACTGTTGCTCCCAAGGGTACGTATAGATTCTTACAACGCAACAAAGATTCTGAAGGTAATTGAACAGTCGCCCCTTTCCACTTGTGGTTTCTGCAGCAACTTACTCAAGCACAGGTGTCCCTCGTGCCGCCATTCTGCAAAGTCCTAGAGTTCACAGCACCCAGTTCCTCCTAAGGGTGAAGCCCATGAGAAGCTTTCACCTTGAGCAAGAGGGGAAACTACAGCTGCAGACAGGTTAACTGCAGCTTCTCTCACGCTTTGAGAAACTCAGTTCCTGAGCACAGGCTTGTTCACTTATTGGAAGAGGACGCCACGTCGTAGCTGATGTCTTCCTCGCAAAGTTGGAGGGGTAAGAATGGCAAACTGCAAGTCCATTTTATTCCTGCCTTTGTCAACTCAACCACAAATTGTCTTCTCTTCTCCAACTGAGTGAGCATCACTTAATAAGCCGCATCAGGTGTACAGTGGGAACAGTGGCCGAAGACGGAAAGGAGCACATCTCCTCGGCAAGTGCATGGTCAGAGCCTGCCTCACTCCAAAGCTCTTCAGCTTCAGCCAAGCTGCTTAGCTTCTCCAGCTCTCGACTTCCTCCTCTGGACCTTGGTTTGCTCGCCTGTGCTGTGAGAGTCAGACTCTGAACATTGAACTCACCTAGTGCTATCCTTGGTGACAGCAGGTGCTCAGAAATGGTAGTCACGACAGCTCCGGCAGTAAATCAAACATGATTTTCTTCCCAACGAAGCCCATCATCTTCATTATGTTGTTAGCAGCTTGAATTTGTTTTTCACTGGCTCAGAACCACTTTGGTATAACCTCCTTTTGATCCTAGCCAAACCAGAGAAATAAATCCAAAGTTACTTGCACACTAGTTTAGGGTTAGTCTCTGCCTGAAAACCTGTAAATGCCCAGCATGCTTTCCCCAACCAACAGCAAGCTATTAACAATGCATTTTCTCAGCCATTAGTAAGGCGCTGTCAGAAAGGACTCAGTCCCCCACAGCTTCTAGGGTTCCATAGAAAAAAAAGTTAAATGCTGGAAGTTGAAGTATCAGCAACTGACATTTGCTCATCTCAAACAAAAGATGTCTTTTTAAATAAAGGAAGCTGCGGTGCACACAAACAAAAAGAGAGACTCTGGCTGCAAAACCCCCCCCCCCCCGCATCTTCTCCAGGGAGGCTCATGCCTCTGCCTGCTGTTCATCAGCCTAGATTTTGATGGGGCGATTTTTAGTCAGCTGCCTCGATCATTTTGGCACAGACAAAAATCCTTTAAAAAATGTTACACTTCATCAAAGTGTATCATGAGACTTCACGGTCATTATCTCAATGGCCGTTCTGATGTGCTACAATTGGCAGAGACACAAACGGTAGGGGGTGTATGAGAAGAAAGGCAGCGTTTCATGAGGAAAGCTGGCAAGCCTCGCCAAGCTTCTGTCAACAACTCCACGGTCTGATCCGATGCACTGAGCGTGCTGATGATGCTCTTGTTTCTGAAGGAAGTAAACAAGAAAATGAATTCCACCGTGCAACACAGCCTCTTTGTATCTTCAAAATGGTGTGACTGGACTCCGGCCAGCCGTGTTGAAAGTTTGGCCATTTATGTCATCAGAGCCCCAGTACTGATGGAGGCTTTGATTACAACTTGGACCCGGCTATAGGACCCTTCAGGGGCAGCCACTCAGCAAATAAAGGCATTGATTGGTTGTTGGGTCAATTTAGCCATCAGGGTACAGAGCATGGCTCTTTTGAAAAGTCTAATGGATTAGCTACACAACCAGTCCCACTGCAGGCCTTATTTTTCAAGTAACTCCATGACGGTTTTCGAGTTTGGCAGGGAACTCTTCCTCCAGAGCAAGCTTCTTATTATCAATAGTGGGGCTCAGAGAATTAGACACTGCGGGCTTTACAATTTAATGAAAACAGCTGTTGAAATAACATTTAAGGCAAACAATAGTTTGCCTGGAAAACTATTAATTATGTAAAGTTATGCAGAAAGCAGAATAATCTTTTATTCAGAGCCCTCTAACACTGACTGAGGACACAACTGGAGTCACCTTCCACTCCAACCCATGGCTCTCAAGTGGCAGGAAGCGGGGTCCTTGTAGGAAGGGGCTCCGCTGAGTGTGAGCTGAATGGAAGCAGAACACCAAGCTACAACTTTGCTGTGAAGAGAGTACAATATTCAGGAGAGAATATTTGTTAGATTTACATAACCTTGGGTACCTTGGGTCCCCCCGCTTGGGTCTTTTTGGATAACTCAGAGCTGCGTTTCCCTAAATATCTGAAATTGGATTTGAGCCTTACCATTGGGATCTCAACTTAACTTTTATAAAAACAAGCAAACACCATTTCTTTAACATGCTGTATTTCTGGCCCAGGTTCACCCTGAGAAAGTGACACTCGGGAGGAAGTGCAGTTTCTTGTTCTTTGAACCAAGTCAGTTTTAATCACATGGCGAAGGTCCAGCTTGGACTTGCACTGTTCCCCTTTTGCCTCTGTTCCCTCCTCTCCTAAATGCACAATTTGCCTCTCCTTCTGCTTGCTGGGGCCTTTGAATTCATTGTTCTCTCTTTGCAATTTCTATCCTTGACCAGCAGTGCTGGGAATTGACTTATGGCCCTTCACCTACCCTGTGCTCCACATCTGATGGTCTTCCCCGGATGGGAATCACCAAGCCAAGAAGTCCCATTAAGAAGGTTATTAACTGTATACATAAACATTGCCTCTTGCCTACAGTTAGATTTATTTCTCCTCACTTCCAAATAACTGGTTTTAACACTCTTTCCAGCATGCCCGACACCTTTTATTTGACTATATTGTTTTAGAAGGGCCTTTGGGAATTTAGCTAATTTCATGGTAGAACTTATTAAGTGGGATTTGACACTCTTTGACAATTCTGATGAACCATTAGTCAAGTCTCACTCCCTTTAAGGAAAAAATGAAAGCTTTATTCATCATAGGGTCTTTATTCTAAACATGTCACCTGAATTTAGTACTGCATCTGTGCCGAAATGCAACTGACTTTGCTGATTAAATAGAACTTTCTCTGAAACTCCAAGGAAGCTGTCATTGGCTATCACAGAAGGACAGCATCTACCTCCTGAAAATTCTCTTTGGACTTACATGTGCATTTTGAAATAATTTAGCAAATTTAATTTATCAACCTCTGATAAAGGTTAATAAAACGAACAACACACACTCATATGTCCACACACGCACCAACACACCAATTCTCTCTAAGGTACTAGAGTCTCACCTTTGTTTGCCTAGGACACAAAAATAAAGAATAATCTTCCCTTCTTCTGAGAAGTGAAAAATCTTGAGGGACCCAATCTCTAAAAAAACCCAGAACATAATTGAGTGTGCAAATGAAATTCATTACTAGAGTCAGAACAATAATCCAATTAGCATGTATTTGTGGAATGCTTTTAAAATCATTCTAAACTCAAAACCACATTCATCTTGGAAATGTAATGCCAACTTGGTGCCTTGTCCCAGCATACTCTGATCACATTTTGCACCGGAGATTACAAAACAGCATCAAGATTGCAAAAGCAATTATTCCAGTTATCCAGATGTGATTTTTCAATCATTCTAGGAAATTTTTTTGGTGGTTTTTATTCCATGGCACTGCTTTCAGCTCTCACGCTGGCACAGTGCTTACATCTCTTCATTATTAATTCAGCTCATGGAGCTTAATTGGACAAGGCTAGAGCGAATTTGACAAACATCACAGCAGCAGAAAAAGCAATCACTCTTTCAAGATGAAAATTTGTTTGATGTCTTACTGTGTAACTCATTTACTCTCCTCGGGAGTCATGTGACCTGAATGTTAATCAGCCATTGATTGGTTCTCTCCTTGGACAGTCACGTGACCTGAATATTAATGGGTTAGCACTCTGTCACTGCACTGTTAGGTAACCTCGTGATTGGCTGCCAGGTTAGGATACAGAGCTAAGTAGGTGCTTGATGAGCACTTGACAGAACTTCACAGAAAATTAAGGCCCTAAAATAGCATGAGAAAGTCTTGTCAAATCAAGCATGATTATCATTGAATGCTTAAGGAATTCATCATCGGCATGAAATTGATACACTTCAGTACCAGCAGGCCCTGTAGTCAGCAGGGACTCATCAGATTTTTATTTATATGTGTTCACCAAATCACATTAATTCTGAGAGCTAAAACATGCTAAGGATGAAGGTTATTTTCTGTTCAATCTAATTTATCTATGACAATAATCATCACTAATAATGTGTCAAATTGGATTGCAGTCATTTTATGCATGCATGCTGATTTGGAAAATAGTGTTAAACCGTCCCGAAGTAATTAACAATCGGTAAAGGTATGCTGGCCCAATGTAATCAGCATATCTAGACGGAAAATTAAGTTTTATAGAATGGATTTATAGATACATATCCTTATTTAATTCAGAATATAAATTATTCCTGGTAAAAGCCACCATCATTTTTATAACACTATTAAAGCCAATAACCATTGAGGGACTCGCATTTTTAATTTGCCCTATCGTTCTTTTTTTCTCTCATTTTCCACAGTTAACTTTCTAATGGATGTCACTTCGTTATTGTCAAGTCCTCACGTGAGCGGGGTCCGGTAGAGCTAAGAGATGAATAAATATGCCTCGGCTTAAGCCTTAATCATGGATGAAGGCAGCCATATCATACCTCTTAGTACACAATGCTTCATAATTATTGGCGAGGGCTGGAAGGTAGGCAGCAGGGAGATTACAAAAAGGGGGGGTGGTGCTAGACTTTGGCCTTTTGGTGTCTCTCCATTATTTCTCGTCACAAAGGGACAATAAGACATTTTGCAGATTAACTTATAAGGGATTAATGTTTCTTGGTGCACTGTTTAAGCCTAAATTGCTTTTGTTGAAATACCTTTTATGCAACAGAAGTTTTTTTTTTTTCTTTTAAATCGCCCTCTGGTTTATAATAGCACTACTGGAGTAATCAAATGATGGAGTAAAGAAATCTTAAAGAAATGTTTATATCCTTTGGTGAGCGGGTTACAACGTCTGGGAGGAGAACCACACTTCCTAAGAAAGGGGAATAGATACACACGAACCCTGGTTTCTTTCCCACAGCTCCCCGCCCCATCTTAATCCCTGGGCTCCTAGCCCTGCCAGGATTCTCTCCCCCTCTCTCAGGAGGTCTCTTTATTGATTAAATGAATCTGCTCCAAAGGCTGGCTCCCAGGCTCTTTGATCTAATCCGATCTGATTTTATCCTATCGCTTTAGCAGGACATCGGGGAATTAACAATAAGCAGCTTTGCCACAAGTGTTTAATAACTCAACACAATCTCCTTATGGCCCGGAGCTGCTCAAGTTCCCATCCAGTCCGCGGCAAACAGTGTAACAGATTGGCCTGGCCCCCTGAACCTGAGGAATTTCCATGCACTGTGAAACTAATCACTTCAAGTTTCTCCATAAACCACACAAAGCAGATTTTAGCATCTTAACAAATTGTAAAAAAAAAATCAAAACAACAGTAGAGGGGGAGGGGCACACAGAGAGGACTCACCTTCCAGCCAAAGCGGGTAGCACAGGCTGGCAGGGAGGGGCAGGGGCGGATCAGCTTCTGTCCTCTCACACAGCGATTCTCCGCCTTATATTTCATCATGAATAAAATAATCTGGGTAGGCTCAAACCTAACAACGCTCCAAGCCCACAATGATCCCCCGCCCCCGCCGCCCCGCTGTGAGGGAAGTGCTGTGGTTTCAACCACAGGATTCGCTGCTGTTGTTCCTGTGACAGCCCTTGCGCTATGCAGGAAGTACACAAATAAAGAGCCTAAATCCTGTGTGCCTTGGATAGCAGAGATGTGAGTGGCCCCTGGATTTCAAACCAGCACACATGCATGAAGGGCTTGTCAGTGATCACTCAATTACAAAGAGCCAGTCTTGCAATGCCATGTGTTTTTTCTAAGCTCTGGGCTGCCTCCACCTGCATCTCTACTTGTAAATGGCAAAGGCAGAACTTGCTTAATATCTTTCTCCCCGTCACACAAGAAAGCACGGCGCCTCTCTTTTCTCAGTCTCACACACAGCCTGCAGAATGATCCTCTCTTTTTCTGAGGCAGAAACATCGAGGCAAGGCTTACCCTTCTGCAAGGCCAGAGCTGGGAGGTAGACAGACGCTGGGAAGGGAATAGGCTTTTGAAAGCTGCAGGATTATTGGTGCCATGGGGAAAACACCACTCCAGCACTAATCTAAAATGAAACATCTTTTAGTTGCTCTGTTTAATACCTACTGTACATCAGAATTATCTATGAAAACACGGTTCATAACAAAGCAACAGCCCTCTCTCCACCTCTGTCACTGCTGTCTGCTAGCCTGGCAGCTCTGATTTCGTGCTGCATCTGCGGAGTAAGGAAGGGCCGCTCCGGGAACCTCTGGGGCGGAGGGAATTTGCTGACAGGTTTGCAATAGTAGGATCTTTGCCTCTATTCCTCGAGGGCCCGGGGTACTGGCAAATTCACTCAGATACAGCTGGAGGCTTGATTATTGTTTTCCTAAGTAAAGACATTTATTTTCATATCCTTCTCCACCCACATCCATTCATTAGTAGTTATCTAGATTTTCCCCCTACTACTTATATGAGTTCAACATTTTGAGACACCCCCCCTGCCCCGCTTGTGCACAAAAAAATCTGCTTTTGAGTCTGTGATCATCTCAATATGGACTGGAATGCTGGCATGGATGGTGCAGTTATTTCCTCTTTGGAAATGCCTTTCGCCTCACTTTTTTTCTGTTCTCCCAGATAAACTATGTCATAACAGAAAAATCTCTGTGAAGTTCTCCAAAGAACTCTGTGCTGTTTCCAGACCCAGGGACTATAATTACGCCTGTGTAATTAAAGCAGAGTGCCTCCTGCCAACTGTGAGCACCCCTGTTTACATGACAAAAAGATAGCAAGATGTACTCGGGAAGGCTCAAGCCAAAGTAATCCAGAGGGCTGCCTGAACTGGCTCAGCTTTCTAAATATTGTCCCTGGGCTAGGGACAGTGAGCAGCAGGGGTAAGGATGGCAGGAGAGGAGGACAGTGAGCTGAGCCTGAGCCAGAGGCCTGTTGACTCCCCACCCCGGGCACATGGAGCTTGGCGACTTGGGAGCCTGGCTTTGGCTGGAGCCTCGTTGCACAACTGACCCAGGTGCTTCTGCTGCGGCCCTCAGCACGGTGGCATGGTGGCCTTCTGAGGTCCCCCAGCCCTGAGCTCACATGCAAAAGTTCAGAGCATTAGGCCAGCTGGTGAACACTTTCTTGGCCTCCGACAGCACAAGGAAGATTCTTCTGCCTGCAGTTCAAGCAGTTCACAAGCTTGTCTTTCTGTGCTGTTCTCTTTGTAGGGTGCAGCAACTGGAAGGAAATTAAAGAGACACAGAGGGTCACAGACAGAAAAGTAAAGACACTGAGAGAAAAGGAAAAACACCAAAGCCACAGGTTGAAAAAAAATCCCTATAAAATAAGAGCATATTATGTTTTTGTGTATTTTCAAAATGTAGCCAAACTAAACCATTAAATGAGGATTTTGTTTCACAAAGTCTGCAAACCATTCAACCGCTAACCCACTGTACCAGGAATGTGGTGCCAACCAAAATATGTCAAGAGTAGTAGTACTCAATAAAATCTCAAAACCAAATGACATGCAAGCTGTATTTCATGATTAGAGCGTTTCCTTATGTCAAGGAACATACATATTAACTTGTTTAAACACGGCTCTGTGCTGTCACTGTTTGTCAAAAACAGAGGAAAGAGAATCTAGTGCTAACCAAACCCACCCAGAGGAAATCTTCACGCTTTCTCTCCTCCTGGCAAGTGGCACAGACACTATCCAAGTAATCCTCACATCCTCAGGGAGAAGAAGAGCCTCCAAAGGGGAGAGAGGTAGGGAGACTCCACCTCCCACCTTACCAAGTGGCACAGTTCAAGCAGGTTTGCAGATGCCTGGCCCAGGTCCCAACACAAGAGTGCAGTGCTAGGGTGAGAATTAAAAATAAAAAGCTGACTTTTCCCCCAAGACAGCAAATCACCAAAATTACAGAATGCAAACACTTCATCTCTTTCTAGCAAAATGAATGCTTTTGTAACCCTAAGGGTTATGTAATGTTTAAACAGTTACAAAGGGTTCTTAGTATATGCATTCTTGCTGCATCCTCACGACTGTGCTGGTCATTTATATACGATTATCCCCATTTTATAAAACAGAAGCCTGAGTCTCTGGGACATGAAGTGACCTACCCAAGTGGCAATGTCAGAAACAGGTAAAACCAGAGCCGTAGCTGGGCGCAGTGACAGTGCCTGTACTGGTTATTTGGGAGGATAAGAAGGAAGGTTGCAAGTTTGAGGTCAGCCTGGACTACATAGTGAGACCCTGCCTAAAAATACAACAGCAAAATGCAGAGACCCAAAGCAGACCAAAACAACAAAAAACAACCAAAGCAGGATTCCCCTTCCTTTGGAATCCCAACCAAAGGGAAACTACTCAAAATGATGCTAACACAATGTCTCTTTTTGCACCAAAAAAGTTTGCTGAAGGAATCCAAAAATGGAGAGGGGTAATTATCTCATTCTCTGAGTGTCAACAGCAATGAGCTGCTGTGTGCTTCTACCTGGCAGGAGACCGGAAGGGAGGTGGTTCTCTCATTTACAAAATACAGTAGCAGCATCTGTGAGGAAGGCAGGAACCCTTGAGGGAGCCACTGGGTAGAAGGAAGGTGGAGCCTGCTGTCTGCTACCTGGCACTTCCTGCAAGGAGTTGCCACACCTTCTGCCTGGCCAGCTCCCCACTGGTGAGCAGCAGGGCGCTGCCTCTACCTGTCTCCTAAACCCATGTGCCTTCTTGTTCTCCTTCACCCTCGTGCTACTGGGGAATTGTTGCCTTCCTTTCAATGCCACATGAGCCTTGAGATTTCACAGTGTGGCTTCTCTCATACTGCCCATAAGGCCAGCATTCTAAATGTGGCACTTTCTACCCCCTAGCCTGAGAAGAGGTTGAGCTTTTCAAGATCTGGGAGCTGCCTGGCATTCTGGCTTCATCCCAGAACACTTATCCACCTGTACCTGACACAGCCGCCCCTGAGAGACACTGCTGTGCCAGGCTAAGTCACATCTCCCTGAGTCCACAATTCACATCCTGAATCCTGACACCCAGAACCTCACAATGCAACTGCTTTTGGAGACAGGGCCTTTAAGGAGGTAATCGAGGCACACTGGGGTCACACAGATGGACCCTAATTCACTCTAACGGGTGCCCTTCTAAGAAGAGATTAGGTCACCAGGGCATGTGCACATAGAGGGAAGACCACGTATGAAAGAACATGGCCATCACAAGACCTCCAAAGACACCAAATCTGCTGAGGCTTGATCTTCGATTTCAGTTCCTGAATTTTGAGAAAATAGATTTTTGTTTTCTGAGTCTCCTCATCTGTGTTGTTTTATCACAACAGCCTAAGCAAACAAACAGAACTTCTCATTCTCTCTGTTCACGCCCACCGAGCCCTCTACTGGGTATCCTCCACCCTTGGCTGTTGGCCTAGCAAACATTTCTTCATCTCCCATCTTCTACTCAGTGCCAGGTCTCCTTCTCCACGAGGACTTCTCAGATACCTGTGGGCACTGGACAGTTCCTATGTGATTCCAAGGAGGTTGTGACATCTCCTGGCTCTCTCTAGAGAAGGTAAGTCTCACGGAAGGGGGACCTCCGATGTCATCCCCAAGGCCTAGCACAGCGCTCCCATCAAAGAGAACAAAGTTCATGTTTGATGGAAGGAATGGAAGAACGGTCCTAACAATCGTGGCTAAGAGACACTGAACGTTTGCTGTGGGCCAGATTCCATGCTAAGTATTACAATACTGCACCGACCAACCTTATCCTCTCAGCAACCGGACAAAGCAGAGAATATTGTTACCCTCATCTAGCTGCGAAAGTCCAAGTCATGTCAAGATGAGTAAACTTGCCCAAGATCATCCAGAGCCAGGGGTTTAAAGCCAAGCATCTGCCTTTTGAGTCTGTGTTCTTAAGAAAATGTCTTTTGAGGGTCGGGAATTTAGCTCAGTGGCCTCGTGCATGTCTTGCAAGTGCAAAGTCCTGAGTTAAATCCCTGGTACCAAAAAAAAAAAAAGGAAAGAAAATGTCTTTTGAGGAGAAAGAAAAAGAAGAAGATAGGCAGGGAACAAAAGAAGGGAAGAAATCACCAACTGTGTAATCTTGGACAAGATACTTCCATTCTTCGAAACTCAGTTTCCTCATCAGCTTATCTCTGTGAAGTCTCAAGTGAGATAATAAAAACAGAATGGCTGGGTGTTGCAGAACCCCACAGGCTGTGTTCCAGTGCCCAGAGAGCTATCAAGTAACCAGATGGGGACCCAAAGGTAAGGCTGGCAGATGGAGGCGTCTTGCATGTTGGGTAATCTGGAGAGATAGATTCCAGAGAGAGAAGAATGAGGTGGACAAGGATAAGGCTTAGAACACATCGCCTCTCTGCCTCCCACCAGAGACTGGAAGGAATCCATCATTTTGCAGGAATCTAGAGGCACCACTCTGCTTGTAACTTGCGCATGTTGCCCTTGGGCACGGTGCTTGCCAGCCACCCTGACCAGAGGATCTCTGAGGACGGATGGCAGCCTTGCAAGTTCTACACATCAGTTATGTAGTCAAGCTGC